TAACACGTGGATCCGATCTGGTCAGCTCGGATCGCCTCGGCGCCCCAGCCCGAGGCCTGGCGCAGAGCAGCGGGAGGCGGCGCAGGCCGCGGCGGGGCCTGCAGCGGCCCGCCGACCCCGCGAGGCGGCGGAACGGGCCCTGGAGCGGCTCAGCCTCGGGCTCGACGGCCAGGGGCGGTCGCCGGTGGCTCCTCGGCTACTTACCGGGGGGGAAGAGAGCCGGGATCCCGGGGCCCCGGGCCGGACCGCGGAGATGCCCCAAACTGACACGGCCGCCATCTTGGAGACAGTGAGCTCCGGCCGGGGGGAGGGGAGGCGAGGCGGCGGAACAGCCGCGGGGGGAGGGGAAGCGTCGCGAGGGAACGGCTGCCTGGGGGAGGGAGCGGGAACAGCCTGGGAGGGAGGCGAGGGGGAGGGAGAAGGGGAGGGTCGAAGGGGGGCCGGCGAGGAGCGGGAAGAGCTGTGTCGAGAGCCGGGAAAGGCCGGAGGGCGGGGCGGGACAGGAGAGAAGAGCCGGCCGGGCAGGTCACGTGGGGCCGGTACAAAAGGCCAAAGCCAAAGTGGGAGGAGGACCTGATGGGCCTGGAGGCCAACAACTGGGGGTTCCTTCTCTTTCTCACGCTGTTAGGTCAGGCGGATAGCGGGAGGAGGAGATGGTGTATCCCCATTACACAGCTGGGGAAGCTGAGGACAGGCGCATGGGTGGGGTGGCTTCAGTATGGCACGGAAATCCGGTGGCCAGACGATCTGAACTCCTGATGATGCCTGTTTACAGTTAGCAGATCCTCCCTCCCGACTTCTGTGCCCTCACCCCACTTCCACAGTGACTCTCCCGAACCCGAGGTTGAGAGCTGGGGGAGTGGGGAGGGGACAAAGGGCGGGAGGAAGTTGCCTCCCTTTATTACCTTTTTGCTCTCACTAGCACCCCACATATCTCATTCTATTGTAGGAAAAAGAGGTGCAGTGAGGAGGGGAGAAAGGGTGGAAACTTAGACACCCATAGCAAGCCCTTTCACCACAATGACTTCATCCTCCCCACAACAGAGAGTCTTGTTGGACCTTACCAAGCCATTTGTATAGGAAACAGAAAAGATTTGGGTCCTGTGACTTGCACAAGGTCACACAGCTCTTGTGTGGCACACACCTGAGTTTGAAGCCTTGATCTCTTTTGTTCCACTGCCTTCTACCCATGCCCTATGCAGAATTGCTTTTTTCCGAATTGATTGCTGAACCATGAACTGGCACCTCTCATGGCCTGTTTTCTACTGGCGACATGTATGTCTCTTTGTCTTGTCTCTCGTCTAGTTTAATCTCCTTGAGGCAGAGATTGAGTCATACTTTTTTTTTTCCTGCAGTAAGTGACAAACGAATATATGTATTAAATGCTTAATAATTTTTAGTGAAAGTGTTTTCCTGCTACTGGACCTTTAACTGCTTTGTGCCCTGCCCCCATGTAGACTGTCCTCCCTAGCACCTCCTAATTTTATCTCAGCTTTACCTTTTAAAGACCACCACTTCACTCACTGCCTTAGCTTTGATTTGTATTTTCTTCCTGAACTTTTGTAGTATTGACCATTTGCCCTATTCCTTTGGCACTTGATATGTTGCTCTTGTATACATTTTATGAATATATTCCCAGACATATGCTCTTTCGGAATGTGTCTGTATCTCCAGTGGCATAGTATTGTACAAGCCGTACAGACTCAAAAAAAAAAAAGTTCCTAGTGAGTGAACATTTCTTCAGCCACTAGGAAAAAGATGGAATTTTTATCCCCAACACCAGCCCTGCCTCATTTATCTCTTTAGCTTTTATCCGTTCTAATCCTTAGCCTTATTGTTCTATACCAGAGGCCGTCTAGATCATTCAGTAATAACATAGGAATTTATATCTTCAGATGATAGTCCAGCCAACTCTATAATCTAGTACTGACGCTGATAACATAAGTGTGGTGTGGTGATATTTACTGAATCACTCTTCATCACTTACTTCCAAGCCACATCCCCACATGAGAGAAATTTGGGAATACAAAATAGTCTGTTAGAAAGGGTATTTTCCATCCTAGATGAATCAGACAGATGAAGTCTCAGGTAAAATGGGAGCTCTTTGTAATGGAAATCATCCAGAAGAAAAAAAAATGTAGTGGGAGCATGGGGATTCTCTTAGAAGAATAAAATAAGGTTTTATTTCCCAAAAAGGACAGATGAAGTCATATTAATAGAAAATGAGTTCTTCGTGTGAGACTAGTATGTGGTCTTCACAAGAAAAATAATACAGAGATGAGTTGTGTTTGCTTTTTGATAATTTGGAAGAAAACTAACCATAGCCATTCCTGTGAAAAGAACAAGCTAGAGTTTAAGCACATAGTAGCAAGAATTTAAAACAATTTACAACTGGTGTGCCTGGGTGGCTCAGTTGTTAAGCCTCTGCCTTCAGCTCAGGTCATGATCCCAGGGTCCTGGGATCGAACCCCATATCGGGCTCCCTGCTTGGCGGGAAGCCTGCTTCTCCCTCTCCCACTCCCCCTGCTTGTGTTCTCTCTCTTGCTGTGTCTCTCTCTGTCAAATAAATAAAATCTTTAAAAATAAATAAGTAAATAAATAAAACAATTTACAACAACAAAGCACAGTTTAACTTTTCAAACAACTTCCATAGAGAGTCTTTGCTTTACATTTGCATAATTTAATGGCACATTCAAGAGGTCTTCTCAGAATAAAAGGTTTGCCACAAAGATCAAAGCCCTCATCTTTTGCATGTTAAAAGACAATCCCTAGCACTGAAAGGACAGCTTTTCTTGGTTCAAATTTTAGTCAGAATTCAGCTCTGGAGGACTTATCCCTTCCACATTTTGCTCTAGGAAGCCCTGCCTTTTCAGTTGTATTTGTTAACTACACTTTATACAGAGTTCAGCTAAGCCGAAAATAGGAAGGCTATTGTATCCTCGTTTCAACAGGAAAAGTTTTAGTCCATTTATATTTAGTATAATTACTGCTGTATTTGGATTTATACATGCCATCTTACTATTTATTTCTTTTTGCCCACTTATTCATATCCCTTATTCTGTTCTTTGTTGTCTTCTTTTGAATTAAAATATTTTCATTATGCCATTAACCTCCTCTATTAGCTTATTAATTACACATTCTTTTAGAAGTCAGAGATTACAACATGACTCTTTGACTTATTACACTCTAATATAAATGATTACTTTTACCACTTCCCCAAGAATGCCAAAACCTTAAAATACAATGCTCGCACTTACCCCTTCCCCTTTTGTGTTTATTTTTGTCATGGATTTTAATTGTGCATATATTTTAAGCCATACAAGATTTATAATCATTTTTCTGTACAGTCAATACTCATTATATTTACCTACATATTTATCCTTTAAGGTACACCTTGTTCCAATAATGCATTTATGTGCTTCTGACTGGAATTTTTTCCTTCTGTTTGAATAATTCCTCTATCAAGTGCAGGTCAACTGGTGACAAATTCTCTCCATTTCTGTTTGCATAAAAACTTCATTTTTGTCCTTAATGTTTTTGCTGGGTATAGAAATTCTAGTTTAGTAACTTTTTTTTCCCTCAGCATTTTAAAGATGTCGCATGGGGCTCCCTGCTCAGTGGAGAGTCTGCTTTTCCCTCTCCCTCTGTCCCTCCCCCTGCTTATGCTTGCTCTCTCTTTCTCTCGAATAAATAAATAAATAAAATCTTAAAAAAAAAAAGATGACCCCTAGTTTCCATCATTCCTTTGTCACTCTTGAAAAATGATGTATTTTTTCCCCTAGCTCCTCTTAGTATTTTTTTTTCTTTAGTTTTCAACAGTTTTCCTGTGATATGTCTAGATGTGGTTTTCTTTGTACTTATTCCACTTGGGTTCTGAGGTGGGATGAGTGCCTCTCAAGGAGTTCCTTGAATCTGTAGCTTGATAACTTTTATCTGTTTTAGAAAACTCTTGGTCACTATCTCTTCTTATCTCTATCTCTCTTTTCCTTTTAGGACTTCAGTTATACATATGTCAGAATTTTTCACTCTTTACCATCTGCATTTCCTGTCATCTTTTTTGCTTCTTTGTGCATGAGTCTGTATATTTTGCACCTATCTATCTAAATCTTCTCTTCAATCTGTTTGTTGAGTTCTTTTAAAAAAAAAATATTTATTTATTTATTTGACAGAGAGACAGAGTGAGAGAGGGAACATGAGCAGAGGGAGTGGGAGAGGGAGAAGCAGGACCCCCGCCGAGCAGGGAGCCCGATGTGGGGCTCAATCCCAGGACCCTGGGATCATGACCTGAGCCGAAGGCAGATGCTTAACCAACAGAGCCACCCAGGCACCCCTGTTTGTTGAGCTCTTAATATTGGTCATTTTATTTTTAAGTTCTAGAATTTTCCTATGGTTTTTTAAAAAAATAAAATCCAAAGCATTTGGAGAAATTCTCTTTTTATTTTCTCTACCTTTGCCTATACTTTCTTGATATATCAATCCTAGCAATTTTAAATCTTTCTGATCATTATAATAGCTAGATCTTCTGTGGGTCTATTTCTATTGTATATTCTTTCCATTGTTTTTTTGGTCATTTTGTTTTTACTGGCTCTTGGCCTGCCTGGTAACTTTTAACAGAATGTCACATTAGGTATGAAAAATTACAGAAACTCTGGATAAAATTATCTTCATTTAGAGGATCTGTCCTCTATAAAGTAGTTAAAATGAGAGCTGAATACCTTAATCAGAAACTGAACTAACTTGAGGTTGGGTTTTGGCAAGGTTTAATCCACCTCTTTTTTGCTGCTGTTCCTATAGCTCAGCTCTCCAGGTGTTCCAACTGAGAATCTTGTGTGTTCCCTGGGGCCCTTGACCCCCATGGATACTGAAGTCTAATCTTCATTTCCTCAGAACCATGAGACTGCAAAAAAACTCCACTCTGCTTTTCAGAAGTTTTCTTCTTTGTACCTTAGCTTTCTTTCCCATTCATCTTCGGAATTTGGCAAGTGACCTGTGGGAAACTAGCAGAGTTCTGGGCTCATTCACCTCTCCCTTCTCACTGAGAATCTGGCCCTTCTGGTCTTTATGTTTTTTCTCTCCAACCTTGGTTAACTGCCAAAATCCCTGCTGGCATTTTTGCCTCTTAGGACCACTTTCTTGCTTCTGTTCCAAAACTCAGACTGGTCTTATGCCCAGAGTTTTCCTGAGGGACAAAGGTGCTGGAGAATATCACGTCACCTCTGGGTATAGTTTCCCATTCTTTAATATTGTGTCCTCTTAAGTCCTGGTTGCCTCAGCTGTTCGTTG